CACCATCCACACTACATTCTCTGACAGCTCTCCCCCCACCATCCACACTACATTCTCTGACAGCTCTCCTCCACCACCCACACTACATTCTCTGACAGCTCTCCTCCCACCATCCACACTACATTCTCTAACAGCCCATACAGGGATGGTGAGCATCTCTGGACACAGACTGTTTACATCCGGGGCCACTCATCTGTCCCTGTATGGATATAAAGGATTGGATTTACATACAGCGGTGGCATTTGTCAGTCTGCTAATAAGTAGAACAGACTGCTGCCTGCGGCTGAAGGAAAGCACCTGGAGACTCCTGGGGGCCACCCAAGTGCATAAACTCATTCATTTCTCTGTACAGGCCTCTGCACCCATGTGATGAGTCCGAGTGTTTTCATATCCTCCAGTTGTTCTATGGACAGTTCCACCTGATAAAAACCATCGTACATTCGTCATCAGAATCAGCAGGAACTTCCTCTCTGATGTGTTACAGATAATTAAGTCTAATTAGACATTTCCCCGAGTCGGAATGCAGTGAGGATGCTGCGTAGTGTGACTTTTCTGGTGTCTAAGAAGTTTATATTTTGCAGGGAAGGATTTCCCGCACTCTGAACATGAATAAGGACGCTCACCCGTGTGAATTTTCTTATGTTTACTAAGGGTTGCTTTCTGAGTGAAAGATTTCCGGCACACTGCACATGAATAAGTAGACATGTGCACTGCCGAAAAATTTGTTTCGTTTCAAATTCGGATTTGTGTTATTTCGTTTTTCAGGATTCGGGTGTGAAAGTCAATTAGGATTCGGAATTCGGATGAAATTCAGTAGCGTTAGTACGAACGTTCGTTTCCTGTTCTTATTCGTTTCTTATTTGTTTCGTTCGTTTGCAGCAAAAGTGACATTTGAGGGGGAAAAAATATTTTTCTCCTTCTCTAATGTCATTTTGCTCCAACGAACGAAACGAATAAGAAAAGAAAACGAAACGAACGCTACCGAATTTCGGAAATGGAAATTCGGATTCGTTTGCATTCGTTATGTCTGTAATTCGGATACATCCGAATGTCCAAAAATTCGTCCGAATTTCGATTCGCACATGTCTATGAATAAGGACGCTCCAACGTGTGAGTCCTCTGGTGCCTAACAAGGGTTCCTTTCTCAATGAAAGATTTCCCGCAATGTGGACATAAATAAGGACGCTCACCTGTGTGACTTCTCTGGTGTCTAAGAAGTTTTTGTTTATCAATGAAATATTTCCCGCATTCTGAACATGAATGAGGACGTTCACCCGTGTGAGTCCTCTGGTGTTTAACAAGGGTTCCTTTCTCAGCGAAATATTTCCAGCACTCTGGACATGAATAAGGACGTTCACCTGTGTGAACCTTCTGGTGTTTAACAAGGGTTCCTTTCCCAGTAAAAGACTTCCCGCATTCTGTACATGAATAAGGACGCACAAACGTGTGAGTCCTCTGGTGCCTAACAAGGGTTCCTTTCTCAGTGAAAGATTGCCCGCACTCTGAACATGTATAAGGGCGTTCACCTGTGTGGATTTTTTGGTGCTGAAGAAGGGCTCCTTTATGAGTGAAAGATTTCCCGCACTCTGGACATAAATAAGGAAGCTCACCTGTGTGATTTCTCTGGTGTATGAGAAGTTTATGTTTCCCAAAGTAATTTTTTCCACACTCTAAACATGAATAAGGACGTTCCCCTGTATGAGTCCTCTGGTGTCTAAGAAGGTTTTTGTTTTCAGTGAATGTTTTCCCGCACACTGAACATGAGAATGGATCCTCACCTCTGTGATCTCCTTCATGGGGTGAGGAAGGTTCCATGGGATTAGATGGATCTGTTGCAGTGTGAGATCTTAGATGGATATTTCCAGTCATAGTATGTGATTGATCAGAAGATTCACCCTGATCAGAGGGATCCATTGATGTCTCCAAACAGTGAGGTCTGTGATTTATATTTTGTGTGTTTGGATTCACTCCTGGAGAATCCTGTGTGATGACATTATCTTCTGACTTACAATCAGCAGATAATATAAGATGTCTCTCCGAGGTATTCCTGACATCACAACCATCTGCTGGAGAGAAATTATTACGCACGTCAGCAATCAGACTCATGTATGTTAGTCTAGAAGTCATCACAGAGCTCTGGAATGGAATTGGGTCCAATTGTAAAACCAAAATATGAAAACCAACCAGATAAAGGATAAAACACCCAAAACACCTCTGACCCCCAGGAGACCATTGTACTGTTCATTAATGACCGCTATGGGGGGGGATGAAGATGGACCTTCCATATGGTGTACAGTATCTCCTCCTCATTTGTTGGGGACATGACGTTATATTGAGGAATGGAGATGGACCTTCATATGGTGTACAGTATCTCCTCCTCATTTGTTGGTCACATGACGTTATATTGAGGAATGGAGATGGACCTTCATATGGTGTACAGTATCTCCTCCTCATTTGTTTGCCACATGACGTTATATTGAGGAATGGAGATACTCAGAAGTGACATAGAACTGTGACCTGTTCCCTCCATAGTGTCTGTTACTTACTTGTGTTGATCGGTAGAGAAATGTCATCCTGATCACTTTTCATCATCATCCCGACCTCCTCCGTGGACGGCTGGTCACCCCCCACATACGTCTCCACTTCTTCCTCTTTAATCACAGCTTTTATATTGATCCGTTCTTCACCCTAAACCCAAAAGAATGCAGCTCCTCGTTAATTATTACATCATTAAATTAAATTTTTAGTGTAAGTACCTGAATGTGACTTGGTATCGGCCTCCTGCAGTCTCCATATGACAGACATGGAGAAGGAGAAGCAGCACAAGGAGCCAGTCAGCTGTACTGCAGGGATAATAAGAGTCATGCTGACTGGAAGAGAGAGCGAAGTGACAGAAAGATGAGCTCATCAATCTGCTGCTTCTCATTTTTCTGTCCAGTCAAAGACTGGGGAAGGGACAAAACCAGCAGGTGTTACTGACCTGCAGCAGAGAAAAGTCAGGTCTCCTGCTCTGCCCATTTCAGGGCAGGTCTTCCACCCATTTTCTGTGAGCCTTGGAGGCCAGGGACCTTAACCTTGGAGGCCCATCATCACACCGGCATAGACTCACAGAAGCAAACAACAGCACCATGTCGTTTAACATGTGCCCTTTGGAGGATACAAGGACAAAGAGGATCCATGATGTCACATGACTGGGCCCAAGAACCATGGAAGAAAAGTATGCTTATTGATTTATAGAGAACAATAACAGTGGGAGGACCTCCAAGGGGAAGATGAAATGGAGTAAACCAAACATGAAACCAATGGACTACATAAAAGAATATTGCGTCACAAAGTTTAGAATCACTTGTTTTCTACACACCGAGTCCCACTTACCTGACCATGGTGATGGATGTTCTGATCTTCCTGTGTGGAGTCCCGGGAATACAGAGGATGGGGACATCTTTCTGGTGGGTTTGCGTCACTGTACGGTACCATCATAATCTTCTCCTCCTCTTTTATCTCTTCTTTAACATCATTATCACATGGAATGGAGATGGACCTTCATATGGTGTACAGTATCTCCTCCTCATTTGTTGGTCACATGACGTTATATTGAGGAATGGAGATGGACCTTCATATGGTGTACAGTATCTCCTCCTCATTTGTTTGCCACATGACGTTATATTGAGGAATGGAGATACTCAGAAGTGACATAGAACTGTGACCTGTTCCCTCCATAGTGTCTGTTACTTACTTGTGTTGATCGGTAGAGAAATGTCATCCTGATCACTTTTCATCATCATCCCGACCTCCTCCGTGGACGGCTGGTCACCCCCCACATACGTCTCCACTTCTTCCTCTTTAATCACAGCTTTTATATTGATCCGTTCTTCACCCTAAACCCAAAAGAATGCAGCTCCTCGTTAATTATTACATCATTAAATTAAATTTTTAGTGTAAGTACCTGAATGTGACTTGGTATCGGCCTCCTGCAGTCTCCATATGACAGACATGGAGAAGGAGAAGCAGCACAAGGAGCCAGTCAGCTGTACTGCAGGGATAATAAGAGTCATGCTGACTGGAAGAGAGAGCGAAGTGACAGAAAGATGAGCTCATCAATCTGCTGCTTCTCATTTTTCTGTCCAGTCAAAGACTGGGGAAGGGACAAAACCAGCAGGTGTTACTGACCTGCAGCAGAGAAAAGTCAGGTCTCCTGCTCTGCCCATTTCAGGGCAGGTCTTCCACCCATTTTCTGTGAGCCTTGGAGGCCAGGGACCTTAACCTTGGAGGCCCATCATCACACCGGCATAGACTCACAGAAGCAAACAACAGCACCATGTCGTTTAACATGTGCCCTTTGGAGGATACAAGGACAAAGAGGATCCATGATGTCACATGACTGGGCCCAAGAACCATGGAAGAAAAGTATGCTTATTGATTTATAGAGAACAATAACAGTGGGAGGACCTCCAAGGGGAAGATGAAATGGAGTAAACCAAACATGAAACCAATGGACTACATAAAAGAATATTGCGTCACAAAGTTTAGAATCACTTGTTTTCTACACACCGAGTCCCACTTACCTGACCATGGTGATGGATGTTCTGATCTTCCTGTGTGGAGTCCCGGGAATACAGAGGATGGGGACATCTTTCTGGTGGGTTTGCGTCACTGTACGGTACCATCATAATCTTCTCCTCCTCTTTTATCTCTTCTTTAACATCATTATCACACTCACTCTGGTTTATACCCTGAATATTGAGAACAATGAGATCAGATGTAACTACATAGATAATGAAGAGGTAAAAATGTATCAGCTATTATCTATTATTTCTCTATTTCACCTTATGTGAGATGGTGAAATGTTCCTGTGTGGAATCCCGGGAATACAGAGGACGGGGACATCTCTCTGGTGGGTTCCTCTTACTGGATCCATCTGTAGGAAACACACTGACTGAATACATTGTCTCTATGTGTGTATCAGATGATGGGGATCTAGGTGGACCCTCCGTACTGCTCTCTCCTCTTACCCGGTGATGTGAGGGGCGGCTCATTCTCCATCACGACATCCTTGTAGAGATCCCGGTGTCCTTCTAGATACTGGAAACTTCCAGAATATTTTATCACGGTTTGCCTCTGTTGTCAGGCAGTGAGGTGGAGGCTCTGTGATGGGTGATGTCTGCTGAAGACACTTGCTGAGTGTTAATGGCTCACAAGATATATTGGTCACTATTCCGTAATCCTGTTTGAAGGGAGAAGGTAACAATTATCAATGCAGACTTCCCAGAATCCTCCTGAGCGGTCTTTTAGAAATCAAACAGTCACATGATCTAAAGAAGACTCTCGGTAGAAAAATGCTGAATTGCTCAGAGTGTCAGATCTTGTAGGACAGTTCTGAGATTATGGACACTGTCCTGCAGTACCCATGCCTCCAACTCACGTTTCACTCCTACAGCACTTCCTGTGTATGCACCTACATCACTTCCTGTTTGTACCTTACATCACTTCCTTCTGTCTTCCACATGAGATCACCACCTTGTGTTGAATATAAATACTTCAGTCTCTGTCTTTGTGCTCGCTGCCTTCTGGTCTATTCCTCTATTACGTTATATCCATGACTACACACAGATTATACCTCACATCAAATCCAGACAATACAGAAATAAAATTAAAAAAATGACAATGTAATAGTTTTTTTTGAAAAATGTACAAAAAAGGTGAAACTACATAATAAACCAACTCTATGGTTATAAATGTTTACAAACTTGTAATAGCACCGAGGAGACTCATTTTACAAAGCTTCAATACAAGTATAAGGAGTATTATTTTAGATACAGCACTACTGTATATGTCAGTGATATATATATATCACTGTATAATAATAGGGGGGCTGTGAGGGGAACAGTAGAGTGTCAGCTCCTCTGTACAGAGACTGATGTGACCGGCTCAGTGTCCTCTGTACAGCACTGCCGTATATGTTAGTGATATATCAATGGATAGTAATAATGGGGGTGTCTGTGGTCAGGTCTGAGGTAAATCTGTATATGTGGAGAGCAGAATCTGCCCGGTGACTAATCCCACTCTGATTGGTTACTGTGGAGGGAGTGCAGACAATGACAGTGGAGGAGGTGTGAAATCTGAGGCAAATCTCTGTGGAGAGCAAAATCAGCCTGGTGACTCTGATCCTGCCCTGTGATTGGTTCCTGTGGAGCTAGTACCAGTGGAGAAGATGTTAAGCGGGGACTCTGATTGGCTGTTAGGCTCCCCTCAGCTCCTTCTGTCAGTTGCTGAATTCTCCATCTTGTTTTACATTTGTGACCAAAGTGATGGAGGAAATGGGGGGGGTTCTGTTCACTTCATTCCAACTTGGAATTTCCTCCCTACAACCCCGGAACCGGATGGTGGAGAAGTAAGTATGTTACACTTCCTTTTGTAATGATCCCTCTGAGGCTCTACTGAATACAATGCCTGAGGTTTGTACACTTACCCAATATAGACCGTTAACACACACACTTACAGCGGCCAGGAGAGGACTGGCTGGGGCCTGGAAATCTCCATCACTCCCCTCTGCCAGTGTGAAAGCTCTGGTGTCTCCGGTCATGTTCTATGAGAAGCTTACTGCTAGACATAAAGCTTCTCTACATATAAGAAGACATGGACTCCTTGGATTGTCGCCTCCTTTATTATGGATTCCTGAACTCTCTAGTTTCCTGATCTGTATTGGGCTGGTTGGTGCTGCGTGCTATCTCCCTATTTGAGGGTTTACCCCCCTTGGATGTGTTCTGGACCTTTCGTGTTCCTGGCTTCCTCTGTCCCCTTTCTTCCCTCTCATCTGTGGAAGGCGGCTCTCCCTCCCCCCTTTTATCTCTCTTCCTTCTATTCAGTTTCCTTCTTCTCGCTTTTCTACATATTCTCCTTTTCTCCGATACATTTTCCTATTCTCTCTTTCTTAGTTTTGGTTTAGTGCTCCTTGCCTGGCCTGCCTCTTAGTGGCCGTGGGCAGTTTGCTATGATTCAAGTGTCACTTATACTGTTCCATATATACTTGGGGACGTACGGGTCCCTCATAATGTGTGTATTTGGGATGTAGCACTTCATCACGTTATTGGATCTCATTGGTGTTTGACTCCGTAGCTATCTCAAGTGTATTTCAAGTATCTGTGTAATTTCTTTGCCTGTTTCTTTATATAAAAACGTTGAATGAAAAAATCCATCACTGTGACCGCGTTTTATTGGTTATAATTATGACAAAGCAAAAAAAATTATTCACAAGTTTATAAAGTACACAAATTCATTGTTCAAAAATATACATTTTAGACAATGTTTCAAATGCCTCCACGTGAGACTCATTTAGGCTAGGTTCACACCTAGTCGATTCAGATGGCGAGCTGTTTTCACGCGACTGTTCATTGTAAACCGCGCGTTTTTCAATGCAAAGAGATGTCTATGGGACCCAAACCGCTCGACAACTGGCCAAAAAAAGCTTCTGCACCTTCCGCAAAAGGTGTGAGCAGCCTCCATTGTCTTCAATGGGAATGTGTTTAGCGCGATATCGCGCAACTCAAACCGTGCGATAAATCACCTAGATGTGCACTGACCCTCACCCGGAATGAATGTAATAAGAAAGGAAATTACGATCTTATCAGATCCCGTCTCTTCCAAAGTTCTACAATGCAACGATGGAAAGTCACCGGCACACACATTGTTCCTTCAGTAGTACCCACACCCTGGTAGAGACGTTCTTTTATCATCAGACTCTACATCCCCACCCCTCCCCCCCCACATTGTTCCCTCAGCAGTTCAACATCAATCATTTCTGTCTGCACCCCGGTGTTGTCACTGATTTCCCCCCATGTCT